GAAGTCCGTCTTTGCCTCAACAGCTAGGGGGTTATTCAAAGTATGGGTCCCTAACTTGGGGTCTTGATGCAGCTGCTGGCAAATCCGACCTGTAGCCGCATACCTACAATGTATTAGGTTACGACCCCTTATACTGTTTAGGGTTTATGAAATTCCCAACTGTACACAACTTCAACAAACAGAGGAAGGGTTTAGGAGTGTAGTTTTGTGGTTCACAGGTTTCGGGCATTTAAGTTCCGGGGTTTAGTTTTCGGGTTTCAAGTTATGGGGGGCCTAGGTGCTTAGGGGTTCAAGGTGTAGAGACTTGCGGATTTGGCTGCTTTCGGGCATCCGACTGTCGGCTGAAGCACGTCACACGTAGACACATAAAACGCGTCATTACCTCAGGATATCTTGAATCCTAAATTTCGTCCATTCCTTCAAACCGTTTACCGAAACCCTAAACCCAGAGCGGTGAACCTCGAAACCCACACTCCCTATATCTGAAAGATGTCAAACCCCAACCCCATTTAGACTGCTGTAGCCCGCTCAATCCAACGTAATTGCGGCCGGAGGTTCTATAAATGCGACTTCCACACACGTCCCGAAAAAAGCAAGACCCAGAAGCTCAAGCACACCATACCCAATCCTCTAGCTCCAAACCTAATGTCGGAGCCTTAAAAATTAGAATAGGGTTTTGGGGTATATATATATATGCTATAACTATAATAAGGAACCCCCAACATATCCCAAAATAGTATAGGTATTTATTCGGGCCCTTATATTAGACTCTTGCAGCCAGGAAGAACAACATGCCTTGTCCACGGTACGGTAGTCCCAAAGGCAAAGGAAAAGATGCATCCTTTGGCACGGCCTCAGAATGGCACCAACCGAAAGGCCTGAAGACAAAACATATAAACTCGGGGTTTGGAGGCTCAGGAATTTGTTGGGTGTTCAACCTCAAGCTGTTTGGGTTGTGTGCTGTATGGATTTGCTATTCAGGGGGTTTCGATATGTGCATGTGTCTCGGCCTTGGGGAAACGTCGGACGTGTCTGCGGCCTTGAGTCCCAGCCACCCGAATACTCCGAAACCCTTCACTAAGGATAGCGTATCGGATAGAGGTTGCTTTACTACTTATGATGGTAAACTGCTTGTCTAAGAGTCAAAACGGGTCGGGTGTTTCCGAGAACGGCTGGATCTCACAAACTTTGAGCCCGGCATGCCAAGAAAAGTTACATATCGGGTCCACAGGGTTTGGCCTTGAACGCGTACGGGCTAGGGATTGAGCTGTAGATGCCATGTGTCCAACCAAAAACATGACGGCCAAAGGATTAAGTACGGATTTACTTTAGGGCTATGGGAGCTTGGGAGTGTGTGAGGGTTACAAGGATGCCAACGTGCGTACATCAAGGTGTGTTTTGGTATGCGGCTGTACTTCTGGGTTGAAAGTTGACGGCTCAGGGGTGTAATCTGATACCCACAATGTAACGTGCTGCACCGCATAGGATGCGAAAACAAATACCTTGCGGTACTGGCAGAGCCAGGGTTTGGGCGAAGAGGTTCGGAATCTACAAGATTAAAGTGGTTGGTCTTGCGTTTAGGGTCTGAGAATTAAATTGAGAAATCCGGATTACACTTCGGGGCTTTAGGAACTTTAGGGTTTCAGAAGATGTTGGTGAAGTTTGCAGGAGATCGTGCTCGACGTGATCAAGGAGAAGCATGCGAAGCCCGTCGCAACCTAGCTTAATGGGGCATGCATGGCTGTGTTTCTGTACTTCATGAGCAAACGGACAACCGCGGCTTTTTTCGTCTAGATCGACTTCCAACAGAAAGTTCGTTTGGACTGTGGACACGCAACGCTGCGTGGGCATCGACTCTTGCAAACACAACGTGTCAACAAACTGAACCGAACTCGTGTATGTCTATGGTTGTTGCCATGGATCAACTCTCGACTGACAACCCCATAGCTCATGGAAGCTCTTGAAATCACACACTGTTGTAATCAAACACATGTGATACACTTAACACAACACTCTCTCTTTCACAGACGCGCACACACACACACACACTTCAGTATGTGCACGGCCATAAATTAACTAGCAATGCGCGAACAAGCCTGATGTGCAGTGGTTCATTGTATCGGGATGAAACCCGAAGTCCCACTCGAGTTGAGGTTCTGCACAGAAACACGGCAACCATACCCTAAATCGAAGTGAACGGCACATGCACTAACCTGCGATGTTGAGCAAAAGGTACCCGTGTGGCCACTTCAACATGGATTCAGCAACAGCCTCAGGAGCCCTATCCACTTCCACAGCATTCTGAATGTAAACTCATTCTTGCAGGATAATCTGCTGTTGTGAGATGAGCTTTCCACGTTTTTGTAGCGAAAGCTCGGCTTTAGCCGATGAGGTTCGGATAATATTGGCTTAGGGTATAGGGTCTATGGCTATAATAAGAACAGATGATATGCCATGACTAGCAGCTACAACGTACCATACTCCACTCTACTACAGCGTACTGTAGTTAAGGCTTGGAGGGGGAAGTTCATGAATTCTTCGGGCTTCTGGTTCTTGAGGAGCCTTTTTTCCGGAACTTCGGTTTCGTAGGGCTCTGCTTAGGGTTGGCTGTCTAGCCCGCCAAGCCCAGGATATGAATCTCCCCGCCCGCCCCCTAAACCCTAAATCCTAAACCTTGAACCCTAAATCATGAACCCTAAACCTAAACCCGGAACCCTAAGCCCTGAATCCTAAACCTTGAACCCTAAACACATAAACACGCTCATGGTCCCCATGTGAACCCTTACAGTCCCTCGGCTTCTTCGCCGACCTCTGTGCATGAAAGGTAGAACGGCTTGGGGTCGTTGGGTTCAGGGTTTATCAGAGATTTTGAGTTTAGGGATTTACCTGGGACTCCACTTACCTACAGTTTTATGGGTTCAACCTACCAATTAAGGGGTAGTGTCTGCTAAACTGTAGGTATAGAGAGTTTCAGGTAGGGTCTACGGGCTGAGGACTGCGGGTTTAAAGTCGAGGGTGTGGGATGTATGCTGTTCAGATGAGTAGTTCTCTAAATTAGGGCCCCTTTTTAGGTTCCGAATATAGTACGGCACCAAAGGGACCCAGAAAGGGACCCCAGCTTCGAGAACTACCCAGATCGATCCCGATGAATTTAAGCCAGGGGGCCCAGAGGGGCACACCTTCGCCGCAAAATCTTTCCGACAAGCCGTCCTGACAGGAAGTGTTCTCGGTTGACTGGGTTTGTAACGGCGGCTGCACAGAAAAAGTCACGAGTCATGAGGGAAGCACGATGAAGATCCACATCGCACCGATGAGTACATATCATATAACCCTAAGCCCTAAACCCTAAAATCGAAGACCACACCTGTCCAAACAAAGGGTCAAGGTCCGGGTGTCCTGGTGCATGTCGGCAAGGATGTAGATGCCATAGGATGCTGCCTGGCGTGCAGTCCCCGTTCGCGCCACTGTACGCTCCAATAAAGGTGATCTAGAGAGTTTGATGCCAAGGTTTGCTGGCATATGTGGGCGTGTATGTATCATGTATACATGCATTCACATATGTACATAGTGCATGTAAACTGTATGTACATACGTATGTTTGTATGCATGCATGTATGCATGATGCGTGCATGCATGTATGTTTGTATGTTTGGATGCATTAAGGTATGTATGTGTGTATGCTGACCCCGAGAAGAACATCTGAGGTGCTGGAAAACACACGGGCCATAAACTTGAGGTGACAAACTTGACGAGTGTCGAATGCCTGGCATTTCACAAGTTGGACCCGCTTCGATTAGGGCCCAGCAGCTTGTATTCGAGATTGAAACAGTCTGGGCTCAGGCTGTAGACTGAGGACTTGACTTGACGGCACTTTAGTGATCCGTTGCAGAAGATGCACGCAAGCGCGGCATCACTTTTGAACCAAGCTTGATCCCAAACAGGCGACTGCAGATCAGTAGGACAAGTTTAGGCGCCTCGTCGTTGATCAGCTGCATGTGCACACATTTTAACCCTGCACTTCGACGTGTGGGGCTGCTGGCACAGCAGTTCTCGGAAGGTCCAAACTGCAAGTAGCATGGCAGAGTGATGAAGTCTAAGTGGGTTTTCAGACCTGAAAACTCTGTATTTATATGTCTATGCGCTCGTTTGCTGGCGTCGCACAAAAAGCCAAGACGCGGTCATTATGCGACCCTTTATTCTGGCTCTTTGTGTTTGTGTTTACTACATACACAGCTATACCGGGATGATAAGGGGAATGTCAGCATATGTGGGCGTGAAAGATGTTCCAGTCAAACAACATCTTGTTTGATGCCCCTTGTTGTTTTGCTGCCATGGTCATGAAGAAGCAGATCACGATGATCACAGAATTGAAGATGGTGAAGACTATGCCTATCATGACTGCCGATTTCGATACTTCACCATCACTCCATTTCGGGTGGCTGAAAACGAAACAACCCTTTGAGCTTTGCAAATGCAAGCAGCAACATCTCGGCTACATGGGTAGTTCTCTAAATTAGGATCCCTTTTCGGATCCCTGTTGTATGAGTACCGTATCATTTCGAGGACCTGAACAGGGACCCTGATTTAGAGAACGGACCCAAATACCAAACCCACCGCCTCCCTGGCCAGATCCGTGACGATCTGGAGATACGTCTCGTTGTACACACCTGCATGGAGGGTGAAGTAGAATCCCATGGCAAGGGGAGGAGGTAGGGGTCGAATTTACATAGCAGGTTGTCATAGGGTTTGCTTGAGGGGCCGTGGGTTGCGGGCTGGGGTTTGTGGGTCAACCTCTTACAGGTTGTACACGCCTGGATGTCGCATGTCAATGTCAGTCAGCTCAATGCGTCTCAGTGTGATTGTGTGTCTGTGTATGCCAGGACAGGCGCACACGAGTGCATAAATTTCTGTATGCTCACCCTGGCTTCTGAGCGGCAGTCCCAGGCTATGCACGGTGCTGAATCAGGAGCGCTTCATTTCGTAGTGGCCACCAGCGAAAGTCAGACAGCACCGGAATCCTCCCGAGCAGGTTTTCGGGGCGCGGACTGCATGGCCCAAGCAGATAGTGCTACCGTTGCCAATACGGATACCACCCAGATGAACATCTCGGGATCACCCGGATAACCAAACTGGCCACAGATTTCGGAAAGAAGGTATCCGGCCACAAGGCTGGCACTGAAGATGGTGCCCATGTGCCTGGGTTGCTTAGTTGGGGAATGAACAAAACATGGCGTTGATGCGGCTCGTAGCACAACTGCTCCTGTATGTGTGTTTATACATATATATATATATATTATATGTATACACCCTATAATATATATATATATACATATATATATGTACATATATATATATGTATATGTATATGTATATATATATACACATATCACTGACACTGTGTTGGGTTTCAACAGCCAGGCCTACATGCCGCCTTCTCTGACTCGGAAGCACGCAGAGCCGCGGGCCAGGCGATGAGGGCCAAGAGGAAGAACCACTTCATGAGGGTGTAAAAGCCTGGAGATTGCAGAAGGGATGACTTTGATTAGAATGACTATAGCCTCCTTTTTGTTTCGCACCGCGGCTATAGTTCCAGTACAGGAGCCAGGGAATGCGTCTGATTCTTGTTACCATAGCCCTCACTGCAACCGTCAGAACCGTGCCGTATGCTAAATGGGAACACAACCAGGTTTTGGGAACAGGCGGCCGTGCTTTGACCAGTTCGACAGCTCATGTCGTGGCGTCACCCAGTCGCTCGGGTAATAGAGTCCGCCAAATAGACGCCAGTCCTTCACCTTCCCATCGCCCTGACACAGCGGCGCCAGCACGCAGCGTGTCAAGAAACCCCCTGGCTCACAAAGGCTGCCTGGTCCATGCTTGGGGTATAGTTACAAAAACCATGCCTTCTTGGGTTTAAGTACTGATAACAATGTTCCCTAAACCCTAAACCCTATAAACCCTAAACCCTAATTCTGACAGAGCTGCCATCAATGCAGTGAGAGATGGAAAGGAAACCTCGGAATGGGCATGGAATTTCACTCTCCTGGAACTCGCTTTTGGGATGCCGAGCCCACTAGGGGCTCCAGTTCCAGAAATCGTAGGTTACGAACTATGCAATCTTTATGTGACCTTGGGTAAAGGGCTTAGGGTTTAGGGTTTAGGGCTTTTTTTGTATGTGACCTTGGGTAAAGGAGTGCTTTGTTTCAAGTCCTTCGTCTTGCCAGTCTCAGGATAGCCGAGCATCGCCAGAATGGCACGGCGGTGAACCGGGCTGGAAGAGCGCAAGCCATGAGCAAATCCAGCAAGAAGGCTAAGAGGCTGGGGGCTAAGAGCCTGGGTTCGTCTTGAACTCAAGTTAGAATAAAAAGGGAACCATATAATTTACTATAGACCCCTATCATTATGGTAATTTCAAGTTAGAATAAAAAGGGAACCATATTACTATAAACCCTTATTATTCTGGTAATCTAAAGTGCTCCATAACAAGAACCTGGGAGCTTGTGGTATACCGGCCATAGGTTCAGGACGGGGATAAGGTTCCGCGACCACACGCACACGAAACCAAATTCCAACATCTTGAATCCAGCCTCTACCAGAGCCTCATGAAGCTTCTTATAAGAGTAGAGGTCCCCATCCATTTCGTAGATGATCATGCGAAGCTCCGGTCTGGAGAAAAAAGATGGGAACTGCCGGAAGATGCTTGGTAGGCAGCCCTCGCAATCAGCAAACAGCACTGAAGGCGTGCCAAACCAGGATGCCAAGTACGGCAGGCTGAAACAGCTCTCAACGTTGTAGCTCATTCCTTCATAAGACATCTCTCGGGGAAGCCGTATTGCAGGTCCCGTCTCACCATGGAGCTCTTCATCCACTCCGTAGAATGGCACTCCGTGAGGGCAGTGAGATGCATCGGCGACCAAGCCACTCACCACACGGACATCCCCGACCTCATTCCTCGCCAAGTTTTCCTTAGACTCGCAAGCGCGGGTGCATCAAACTTACTGGATAGCTCATCCTGCTTAGGGAGATTGTTTCGATGTAGCCCTGCTGACTGCGCATCAGGTATCTCGAGCCTTGGGGAGAACCAGCGTGTTCGGCTCAATGCAGACGGTTCCGTTCAAGTTTCCGGACAGCTTGGCGATGAGGATGCACCTGGTTCCCTGTTGGGGTCATATTAAAATGATCATTTTTCATCCTTATTATTAGGGTTTCATTATAACAAAAAGGGTTTTATTATAACAAAAATGTAAAATTGTATCCAACAAGGACCCAGGCACGATGTGCCGATGTCAACCCCAAGGTTCCACACTCTTTCACCTCGTCGGATGTAGGAACTCAACTGGTAACCTTCCTGCGACTCGTGAGCCTGGCTGGACAGAGATTCATTGTGCCTGTCACGCAGTTCGAAGGCAGGTATGCGGGGAGGAGACGTCCTCCAGTTCAGCAGCAAGAATGGCAAGATGAGGACCAGGATAGGCACAAGCCAAATGGCACGAGGTGGACATGCCATGATCTAAAGGTCGCCTTGCACCAGATAGCAGAATTAAAAGAGTAAGTTGTCCAGTTTGTCCCATGCCGGAAGCAGCCCGAGATTCAGGGTATACTGTGATCTACTATGCTGTAGTACAAAGTGCTTCAGGATACTACAGTACATTTTAGTAATTAATTCTAGTAATCATACTCGGCATCATCAACCATTAGCTCGGGAAGAGTGCAGCTTGACCAACCCCCAAAGCTGCAAGGCAAGCGACCATGCGAGAGAAGTGGCTGCAGAACGGCACGACTCCTTCGTCCCAGAGATTCCCTTGTTTCTCAGGAGTGCAGGGCAGGGCAGGGAACCGACAAAGGGGCTGGTTTCTACGGAGAACCTCAAATTACCACTCTGAAGCTATGCCCTGACACTGACCATGCCGCTACTGATGAAGATGGAGAAAACGACGCTAGTATGGCGATGCTGAAGACGGTGTTGAGGCTTGTGATGACGCTGTGGACGGTGACGGTTGGGCATAACGAATGGTTTGAATTTCATTCGGAACTCAGAGCTTAAGCGTCTCAACCCTAATGCGCACACCCAATGCCTCCCCCTTAAACCGGTATGTGCCGTCTGGACAATGCCTCGCTGTGGCTCCACACCGGGCCACATGACACCTCGTCATATCTTTTTGTTGGTAGGTCTAGCGTTTCAAGTTCAGGGCGCTTTGTTCGGAATCAAGGTATCATAGGGTATTGAAGATAGTTCAAAAGGTAGACTATATGAGGAGCAGCTACTGAGGTAAATGTCAGAACCATGTACCGCAGAACAGCTGCACAGACACATCTGTTGAGCGACTGACCTGATTTATGTCTCTCCTCTCTCTCTGTCTCTCTATCTCTCTCTCCCTTTCGCCCTCTCTCCGACTCTCTCTCTCTCTCTCCCTCTCTCTCTCCCTCCCTCTCTCTCCCGTCATCAAAAACCGTAAATATCGCCCTGCTGACGGAGTGGGGGCGCGGCCCAGCCGAATCAAGTTCAGCCCGGCCGATCGCATCATTCGGAAATCCTCGAGTTCAGACCCGAGGCTTTGGTGGCAAAAAGGCCGTTTAGGGTTTAGGGCTTAGGGTTTAGGGGTTGAGGGGTTTAGGGGTTTAGGGCTTTAGGGGTTTAGGGTTCATGGCAGCCGACAGAGTTCTGGCAGGGTTTGGGGTTTGGGACTTCGTTAGCCTTGGGTCTACGGTTCAGGCATTTATACCAAACGCAGCTCCAGTCTTGGTGGATGATAGACATAGTGGTTTGCAACTTGGTCCTGGGGGTCGTCGTCTCCGCTGTCATCCCGGAAACAGACGCTTAATCCTCATTGGTGGTATCGAATTGTGATGATGATTATGATTATGAGTGTTATTATGCTGAATATTTATTGTTGTTTAATATTGTTGTTACGAAGTTACGATTATTATTGTTGTTATTATTGTTATTAGTATTATTGATATTGTTATTATTGTCGTTATTGCTATTATTACCCTTGTATTATTATTCCTATTCTTGTTATTATTCTTATTACCATTACAAATATGTTTATTGTTGTTATTAAAACTAAGTAACACGATTAGTATTCCTAATGTCATTCTTGTGGTATTCTCCGTCTCGAGATGAGGGAGGTTCATCTACATCCCATGCCAGGACATGCTTCTTTCGGACCGAAACCCAGTATTCTACATAAACCCGGCCTCAGCCCTAAGCCCCAAATCCTAAACCCTGAACCCAAGTCCTAAATCCTGAACCCCGATTCAAGCAACAAGCCCCTGAACCCGAACCCCAAAACCTTAAGCCCTGAAGCCCTCGATCAAATCCTATGAGTCGAACCCCCATGCCCGGACCCCTGAAACCTTAAACCTCGAACCCCAAATCCTCAATCCTGAACCCCACATCCCAAACTCTACACCCTAAACCCGGAACCCCAAAACCTCAAACTCAATAAAGCAAAGCCCACATCCTGAACCCCAAACCCTAAACTCGAAACCCCGAACCCTGAACCTCAACCCTAAACCCCTGAAGCCCATGCCACCAGCGGTCCTCGGCTGTAAGTGAGGTCATCGGGTCAAAGCCCTCCCGAGAGGGAATCCAAGGAGGGCCTTTCCTCAAAGATTCGGCTCCACCCCTAAACCCTGCAGTAGAAGCCCAAAAGTTGGAAACCCAATAGCCTCAATCCTTAAGAGTAACGTATAGGGAATCTCAGCACTAATTGTCCTTGATCCGGTTTCCAACTTTTTGGGGTTTACTATAAACCCAAAACCCAAGATTCCTAAACCCTACCTGTAACCGAAAAGACCTACCTTTGTCAGGAACTATATATAGAAATTATAATAAGGATCCCGAAAATTGGAGGTCTTTTCGGTTACAGGTAAACCCTAAACCCAAGATTCGAGATTCGGGCTGAGGGCTTAAGGTTCCTAGAAATGGGGCCCCTTTTCAGGGATGTATATAGGAGTACGATGATTTAGGAGCTAAGAACCGGCTTCCATTAAAGGGCTCCATGCGCTGGGTCCTTTGATGGATCCATGACAAGCGAGTTCCATGGCTCGGGGGTCTTCATAGTCACCACTAGATTTTAGGGTTTAGGGTTTAGGGTTTATAGGGGGGTTTGGGGTATGCTCTAGACTCTAGTCAGTATGATGATAATACGGAGCCCTATCAGGAATAGTGTTGGTTACCATTCAAGTCTCAATTCTGGGGGAAAACCGCAGGGGCGCATGTAATGTTAAAAAACCTCAATACGTTGCATAGGGTTTTGAGTTTAGGGTCTATAGGTGTCTGCGCCGATGGGCTTAATAAGTTTTTTTCGAAGTGTGTGCAGGATTTTGTTATATAGACGATAGGGGTATACTATGGCTAATTATGCGGACCTCCATAGCACCTCACATGCTGAACTGCCAGAGCCAGACTGTTTTGAGTTTGGTGTTCGCCATACGGTTGATGATATAAACCCTGCATTCCCCATAATAAGGAATATACCATACTTCCTTTAGCTTAGGGTCCTTAAGGTAGCGAAGGATGTATATCATCAACCGTATCATTCAGGCAACCTCCTCCCTTCTGCGAAACGTGTGGGCTGTTTCCCAACTTGGAAACAAAGCCTACACTCAAAACCTAACCTTCCAGAATCTAGAACCTAGCCCGTAAACCTTGTCACCCTCAACGAGTTAATGCTAAACTCCACAGCCCTAAACCTCTTAGCCCTAAATCCTATCCAAAAGTGAACGTCAAAACGAAACCTAGCTAGTAGGATCTGCGATGTACCGCAATCGCTTCGACCCATTGCCGTTTAAACGCTAAGCCTGCAGGGAGTCACATGAAGTTCATTGACATAAATGCAGACACCCCTAAAGCTTCAAGCCGTACACCTAAACTCTTTTAAACTTACACTGTTTGAAGCTTTCATCACCTCTGGAGTGCACTCCATTCTGATGGCGAGGACTTAGGGTCTAAGCCTTTTGCTGTGTCCTAGCTTCAACCTCTCTCTTTCAAGGCCAAGCGTCACTATGGCATTGGTGCCGTGGAAAAACCGCTCTCCTCAATTCAACTCAGAGATTTGGGATTCGAAAGCCAAGTCTTTGGATGTGAAAAGCTCAATCCCCACTCCGGCAGCCCGATGAAGTACACACCTAGCTAGCTAGCTACATACCTAGCTATGTGCAAACATGCGGACGACATACATGCCTACGCACATACGCACATGCCTACATACGTACTTAGGTCTGTGTGTATGTATACACACATACGCATATAGCAAATATATACGTGTTTGTGTGTGTGTGTGAGTGCATATGTGCATGTATATATATATATGTATATATATATATTTTACATACACACATGTGTAAGTATGTGTAGGTGCAAATTACACACTCCGGCGTGCGGGACCACGTGATTGTGTGTGGCTCTATCTATAAGTCCATCTGTCTGCCAGTCCGTCTGTTAGTCTGTGTTCATCTATGCATGTATATGCATGCATACCTATGCAATGCATGCCTGCATGTATACATGCATGCCTGCATGTATACATGTATGTTTGCATTTATGATTGCACGCAACACCCCTAGTGCCTGTACCTTTCCAGAAAGTGATGAACGAGCTGTGTATGTACTCATGTATGCATTTCTGCGTGTAAGCACATATGTGTTTGTACGTGATTTTTGGAATATACACAGACAGTTGCTGGTGGCAGTCCCCGGCCTTTGCACATCTCGACCATGCTGCAGCGTTCTATGCTGATTCGGTGGTGTTGTTGTCGTGGTTGAACCGAACATACACACAAGAATACCGGCGAAACCCGATTTCTTGCATATTCTTGTGACAATCGACACCTGCCAGTGCTTTGCTAGAATTGCCAACCACGTGCATATAACGGCATCACTACCATTGTGTTGATTATGGTGGTAGTGGTGGTTCCTGTTTCGGTGTAGACCCAACGGAAACAAGAGCACTAAAGCAGGGAAACCGCTGTCCCTCTCAGCTGCTGTGTTTCCATGCTGCAGTAAAGCCCAACCTCCAACGGAATCCCTGCGTGCATCATCTTATAACTACATGCACCCTTAGTTTCTATTCCTTGCTAAAGACTTCGGCAAGGAGCGGCCCTCAGCGTCCACGAAAGAGCGCCTTGGAGCAAATTAATGAAAGACGGGGTTTGTAGTGATTTCGTATCGGAGCCTGAAGAACTCATCCTAAACCCTAAACCCTAGAACCCTAAACCCCTAAAGCCTAAAGCCCAAACCCCTAAACTCCTAAACCCTAAACCCTGGTTTGGGGTTTAGGGCTTAGGGGAAACAGCAGATGTAGACGTAAGCAGGCATACCCCTACGAACTCACCGTGTTGACCACGCCGCCGGATGATACAAGAATGTGCCGTAACAAACGTCTGAAGCTCCGTTACTACTCTTAGGAATACTACTTACCACCTCCACGACAACAACAACAACAAAACAACAGCAACAACAACAACAACAACAGCTACTACGACAACAACAACAGCAACCACA